CATTCACATCCCCCGTCACGAAGCAGCAGAAGTTCAAGGGAAGAAAATCTGCTGTCACTTTGTCTCAGTTAAAAGTCAAAACAAGAATGATGGGCAATAAATGCAGTAAAGGGTGACCAATGGGGGCGGGCAGGTCAGTCAAGGTACACAGTAGTGTGTATGTCACGCCTGACACTGGGGTCAAGAATGTGCGATACCAGAGCCATCTGAACGAGAAGAGCCATAATGTTTTCTCTCCGACAATGAGATCGTGCAAATTTTGGAGGCTAGGAAAGTGCATGGCACACTGTTGGTACTGAATGTCTTCAGACCTGGATGTAGTTCTTGATTCCTTCAAGATATGAAGTATACGTCTCACTGCAAGATGAGCTATGACACCATCTGCTTTTTGGCTGTTTATTAATATTGAACAGTTTTCCGTGGGACAGGTAGTATATCTGGAAGGTATTTAATTCAGTTTAAAACAAGATATAAATGGTGATTTCTGATAGAAAATCTAGACTGCCTGAGTATGGCCAGGTTGGGAACAATAATACTTCATATTTATGTTCTTTTGTTTTAACTCTCAGCTCATCATTGCAACAAATACTACTTTCTGACATATATATATATATATATGCATATGCATATTTACTCTGTCTTTCCTTTAGCCTTTACCTATAATAAATTTCTGTCCTACGCTCAATCTCTCATGTGAAAACAAAGATCAGCAGAGTCTTTCTTGGTGTTTCTAAGTATTACTTGAGCATCATAATAAACAAGGAAACAAAAAGCAAAAGTTTGGTTATACACGATGGATATGTCTTAAAGCTCTCCTGCGGTGTGCCCGAACTAACAACACTGTGTGTAAACTTTTAAACGTCTATTATGAAGATAGATCTCATGACAAATGTTCTCACACAATCAAGAATAAGGAGAGGAACAGTAAGTCTAAAACAAAGACTTACATGACAAAAGGAGGCAAGAAGAGGAGGCAGAGGTGAGCCCGAGGCATGTGTATAATCACGCGGAGTGACAGAAGCATGGACTATATGTACAGAGATATCATGGAGGGAAGTTGAGAACAAAGCCTAAAGAATGTCAGTGAAAATTAAGCAGTTGACTTAACTGGACTCAGTATTTATGAGGTAATTAATTTCACCAGCAGTTATTTCCTGAGTGCTGTCTTCCTACTGCACGCTTCAGAACGTAAGGGAGATATGAAGAGGAGGGATGCAGTCAGGAGTCCTGTCCTCATGAGTCCACCAATGTCCTGAGATGGCCATTCTTTACTCTGCCATTTTATTTCCCCAAATGCTCTTCTCCTGATGATTATACTCTCTGCCTTTCAAACTAACTTTGTTGGTTAATTCCAAGTTACCTTAATGGGAGACACCAGAGGAGATGAGGTTTAAGGAACAGAAATCAATGGGTGAATTTCCTAAAGTATTTCTCGTCTGTGTTCATGGCCACAGAGATGACACCTCCTCCCGGGTTTGCGCTGTCCTGCTCTGCATCTCCAGCTCTCCCTGGTACTAGGTTCATCAGCTCCTTGCAGGTAATAAAAGGCTTGTAATGATCCTACTCTGCAAATGCTTTGCTTTTTCCTTTTGGTTCTCCTAAACCTACTCACAGATCTTCAACTTGACCCACTAATAGGTTCTTTTAAACCCTTTGAGTAGTATCTTGCTTCCATCTGGGTTCCTAAGTGATAAAGATTCATTTTAGATACCAAAACATATATGTATAATTTAAAATTTCATTGAGGATATTGTAACTAAAAACTCATATCAGTTTCAGATACAGGTAAACAAGTATGAGTTAATAAAATAATGATAGGTGGTTTCATTTTTCCTTTTCTTTTTTTTAACTTTTATAAAAATTTTATGGTGAATTTCATACATGTATATAAGGTGATTTGATCAAATCCATGCCCACTACCTCCCCTCCAACATTCCTCACTCTGAAGAGGTAACCCTAAAATCTTTTAGAGATTAGATACAAGCTCCCAAATGCTTTTGACATTTTTGGCCTTTGGGAACAGAGTATGTTGCTAAGAGGCCTACGGGCATTTTGAATTTTAGCCAAGAAACTGGATCCTTTTCTTTGGGGTCCTTTTTACCCTAACTGCCTAGCCAATTATTATAAGAATTGTGGACACTTTTTAAAACAAAGATTATTGTATATGATTGTGTGTATGTGTATGAGAGAGACAGAGACAGACAGAAAAAGACTAAGACAGACATTTTGACTTTTCGTCAAGATACTGGCTACTTTTCTTTGGGGTCTTTTTACCCTAACTGCCTAGCCAGTTCCTACCTCCTATTCTTATCACACCATCCTCTGAAGGGGTTACCCAAATTCCCAATAGGGAATAGGGACGCAGACCACTCTGGCTTCTTCCATGCTGAACAGGGACACAGGGATAGGTGGTTTCTTTAAGAAATTAGATGAAGGAGCCAGTGTGGAAACAACATGAGTTCCCAGGCTAGCAAAGGGCAAGTCCAAAGGCCATGAGACTGAAAGAGCTCCTAGGGCTCTGTTCCAGAATTTCAGAGCAATGTATGAGGAACATCTGGTTAAATCACTCTATGCACACACAGTGAGCTGCAGAATAAGCCTGTGTGCTTAGATCCTGACCGACAAGTGATGGATATGGAAGTTCTAGGAACAAAGGCCCACCAGAGCCACGCAGTTGTGAGACTGGGGAGAAGCTCGGGTGATCTGTGAGCACTGAGCAGCTGCTCAGATGCTCATTTGAAATTGCTGTGACCATGCTGGGATTCAGCGATGATCTACTTCACCTGATGCTACGGAGGAATTAAGACACGTCAAGACGTTCTGTTTTGAGTCCTGCATATATTGCTCATGAGGTTACCAGTCAGTTTAGGTATCACTACGGTTCCTCATAAAGTTTCTTTTCTCCCTTGTCATATCTCAAAGAAGGAATATCAAGGGTACATCACACAATTTCTTGACTGAGACAGTGCGTACTTTTATGTCCTTTTTCAGGTTCATTTGTTCTGGGGAGGGGAGGAGAAACAAAGAAAGAATGGAGATGTTGCAGAACACAAAGAATTAAACAATATAAGTGCCTTGGACTGCTAGGTCCTACCCAGAAGGAGACTTCAAGCATCAATTTACTAAGCATATTTCAAGGCTCCCTCAAACCAAATACATCTAACTTATTAAATAACCCTGCCTGGGGAGAGATTCTACATTGTTTTTCCTCTATAAATCTAGTTTTCTAATTTGTTTTACAATATGACCTCTCGTTTTTGGCTTTGGCACAAATTCTGGCATTTAAGAATAATTTAACCGTAGGATATACTGAAACCTTTGAAATCCCATCAGAACATATTATTTTTCCATTTATCAGGATTAAGAGTCTTATTTGAGTTGTTTCCAAGAATAGTTGATATTATAAGATGGAAAATGGCAAAAATACTAATAGATTAAAGGTATTATTCAATCTTATGTGTTTAACTAATACCTTTGTATTTCGAAGACTTCCTTAGATACCCATCCTAATGCCTTCTACTACATCTTAGTTTCTTAAGATATACTTCAATTTGTGAGTATCCTATCCTTAAAAGAAGGACTACATAGAAACTGATTTTGCTTTGTGTGCATCATGATTTGGGTAAAGTGTACAGATATACCATCTCCCTCACCCTGGAAATTGAAACACATGGTGTTGATGGTATTGTTTCCTAAAACTCTAGTTAAATCTCTGCTCTTTACTAACATTTTCCTCCCCCACAGGCTAATCCTACCGTTACAAGAACATTTCTAAAGCATGTTTCATCTCCATGTTATGCTGTGGGAGTTAGTGTAACAAAACTGAAGTTAAATGATTAGAAACTCTGATAGAAATGCATTTATGCAAATTATAATTATAGATGTTGAAAGGACCCTGAGGTCTTATCCTAAAAATAATAACAGCACTGTGTTTGAAATAAATCATAATACTGTAATCAAATATGATTAGAGCTCTGCTCCCGTCTTTCATCCCACTGTCCACGCTGTAAACAACATGGACAAGCCACTACACTGCATGGGGTTTATACCCCCAGAGACAGGACAACAGGATCGGTCAGCACAGCCAGCATGAAGGCTTGCTCTCCTTTGTCTTTTATTATCTGGGGGATGTTGTGGATTAAAAACATTCACAGCTGTGCTCTCATGCTATTATTTTCAGGAGACATCGAATAACAAATTAGATCTCTGTTTCTCTTAAAATTTTGTTGCAATGTGCATGTCTGTGTGTGCGTGTTTGTGCATATGGGGAGGAAGAGGAGAAGCTCAGGCACTTCCTCAGCTCCATCTATTTTTTATTAAGACAGGGTCTCTCCTACCATGGAAGTTGGCAAGTGGTCTGGGCTAGGTGGCCAGAAAGCCCCCTGGATCACCTGTCTCTACCTCCCCTGAATTGAGAATAATAAAAATATCCCACAATGCCCAGATGTGTCTATGAGAGTTCCCTGATCAAACTCTGGTCCTCATGCTTGTAAGACAACCACTCAACTGACTATCTCGCTACTGTTATTTAAAATTATTTTTTTCTGTGATACATGGATTGAAATGGTCCATACTAGGCAAGCACTCCACCACTGAGTCTCCATTCCTAGTCTACATGCCTAGTTTTACAGTTTTCTTAAGCCCTTTCAGAGTCTACAGCTTGAACATGAGGAGCAGGTGGGACTTAGGCTTTTATTCTTCTTCCCTCTGTGTCATGGGAAAATGAAATTAAAGGACATCCTGAAATTTTCAGATGAGTAGATAGATGTAAATTCCTCTGTAATCTGGAAACATTTGCTGTAAGTTAAAACAAGTTTTCATGCATTGTTATTCATAGTAATGACTAGGCAGCTCAAATGAAATGGCTAGTTGTCAATTCCCAGCTACAGTCACCATGGGGCTTCTGGGAAAAAAAGAAACCCAGCAAAGTAAGTAATCCAAAAAGCTAAGTAATGTTTTAATAAACAATTGGGTCTAATTATAGAAGACTGTGTACTTACTTGCCCAGTGCAAAGCACTCCATCTTAACAGTTGTTCCCTGAGCAGCTGTAACCGTGAACGGAAAATGGACCTCAATTTTCGGCTCATATTCTCCCATCACACCTGGGAAATAAAGAAGAATCTTTAAGTGCAGAATGAATGTCACAGCTTCTTTCTAATCCTGGAGATATTACACTGAAAATCACTGTAGTTTGGCTGTTAGTATGTGTGTGATGACTGCTAAATTTTTTGATTCATTAAAATAAATATAAAAAAATAAAAAATAAAAAAGTAAACTTAGGCTCCATCATGGTGATGAAACCCTACTATTTTCCTAAGTATTGTTTTGCATGCCTGATACCATTTAAAGTCATCATTAGAAGTGTTAATCAACATAGGAACTTTACAGCTTTTTTAAAAAAAAGTTTTGCTTTGTTATTACTTGTGTGTGTGTGTGCATGCGCACTTGTGTGCGTGCACAAGTGTTGGGAGCTGCTAGTCTATTATGTATGTACATTGAGCTGTGGCAGGCTTGTTTACTGAGTTTGTGTTATGCACACCAGTACCTAATCTGCCTAATCAGGAGGAATGTGTTTATATGGAGAGACTCACAATGCCTGACCTGGAGGCAATAGTGGTAAACAAAAGGATCAAAGAAGGCTTTGAAGTATTTGACCACTCCTTGACCCTCAGATACAGGTGGGAAAAACAGCCGTTGAAACTAATTGAGTTCTTCTGTATAAAAAGGTGGAGCAGAAATAAACCGGGGCTGCAGTGTCTACTGTCAGTCCTCCCAAGCATCTTTTCTGTCTCTTATTTTTTCTTTCAATCCTCACTCCTCCTTTCAGGTACTGTCCATCTTGGCCAGCTGGCACCGGCACACAAGTGTATATGGGAGCTCATTAAAGAGGAAGTCAGATCCCCTGGAACTCCAGTTACAGATGGTTGTAAACTGCTTTGTGTGAGTGCTAGAACCCAAACTTGGGTCCTTTGCAAGAGCACCAAGTTCTCTTAATGACTGAGCTGTTTTCTAGCCCCAGTTGCTGATTTTTAACAAAGTAAATAAATATGAAAATTTCTCATGATAAATTGTTGTGTTTTATAAATGAGAAAGCTATCAGACCTTTACATTGACAAATAAATATTTTAATGATTCAATTTAATGTATTCTTATTTATATTTATTTTTTAAAACATTTTATTTTTATTTATGTGTGTGTGTCTCTGTGTGAACATGCTCGAGTGAGTGCTGGTGCCCATAGAAGCTAGGGGAGGGCATCAATCCCCTAGAGCTGGAGTTACAGATGGTTGTGAACCCTTCAATGTGGGTTCTGTGAACCAAACTTAGGTCCTCTGGAAGAACAGCAGTACTCTTCACCACTGAAACATCACTCCAGCCCCCTCAACTTATATTTTTAAATGCCAGCTGATTACTGCTGGATGAGGAGGTGCTTACCCTCTTAAACAGAGGGACTCTAGATAAGCTGACTAGACCCCAGTGAATGAACTTGCACTGAGGGATGTCTAAGGATACTAACTTGACTTGATAAGCCTTAACATACATGAAAGAATGCATGAAATCCAGTTGGGGGTTCTGTGGGAGGGTGTCAATAGGGAAGGAAGCATAAAGATGATTACAATTCAGATGTTGTATATGAAATATGCAAAAATTCATAACATATTCTGTTCCAAAGGCCAAAAATGTCAAAAGTATTTGGGAGCTTGTATCTAATCCTTAAAAAATTTTAGGGTTACCTCTTCAGAGGGGGGAATGTTGGAGGGGAGGGAGTGGGCATGGATTTGATCAAAACAGCTTATATGCATGTATGAAATTCTCATTAAAGTTCTTGTAAAAGTTTAAAAAATTGTCTATAATATATAAGGCATTTTTGTATGCATTGTGGAAGTTACAAAGATTAATCAGTTGTATACTGTGCTCTCAAGAACTCAATAAACATATTTTTTAAGGAAAACTAACATGTAATCAAGCTACACATCAAAGGAACATTTTCCATGAATAATGTATCTTTTATTTATAAGCATTACATACACTGGAGGATTTTAACAGGTGAGGAAAAGGATGAGAGAAAAACAGTGCTGCAGGAACAAAGACAAGAGAGGGGAATCTCCTGGGAGAGCAAGCGAGGCTTTTCTGGCTTGCTGGTACATGAAGGAAAGAAATATAAATTTAAATAATATCCAAATAATAGAGAGCTTTGATTATCAGAGTGAAACTTCCACACTAACTATAACTACCTTGAGGCTTTGGGGATTCTAATCATGGGCAGAGATGTGGAGATGGATATATGTACTGGACTTAGAAGAGGCCATCAAGTCACTCACATTATCCAAATATTCCCAGAAGTAATGAAGAGGGGCTGGAGAGATGATAGTTCGGTAGATGGGAGCACTGACTGCACTTGCAGAGGACCCATGTTTGGTTTCTATCATCTACAAGGCAGTTATCAACCATCTAAACTCCAGTTCCAGGGGTTCTGATACCCTCTTCAGGCCTATGTGTGTACTGCACTGTGTCCTGAATAGCCTGTTTCCTCCAAGGGGCAGGGCCTGCTGAGGAGAATTGACTATGGAGAGCTAGTCATGGGAGGAGGGGCTTTCTGTGCCATCTTGGATGGGAGCTGACTGGAGCGTGGTGGCCAAGAGTGCAAGAACAAATGGCCCGGCAGCATTTACTGATCTGGGGTGAGACTGTGGGCCCATGAGGTGTGGGCGAACGCTAGCGGTGACTATGGGTGGGCTGTGGGAGTGATCTGGAGTGCCAGGCTTGTGATCTGGAATGGCAGGCTCACGATATGGAATGGCAGAATCTGAGCCACAGCGCAGAGCTGGGCATAGAGTGTTTGTTCCTTTGTAAGTTACTCCCTCCTCACCAAGGGCATAAACCATTATAAATTCACATACAAATATGTTATATGGATTGTCTGATAGCGCAAGAGACGCTGAGAGAACTTGGGCGACAAAATTGGCACAAGTTGGCAGGATGAGGTTGCTAAAAATAACAAACCACAGAAATTTGGAAAAGCTAGAGAGCTGATGACAGTGCTGATGTGGTTTTTACAATGGATTATATAATATGTAACTAAAAATAGGCCAGCCATGCAGAAGCATGGGTCACAGTCGTGTTGTAAATGTGGGGGTATGTTGTGGGTATGTGAAGATTTGTTAAAGGTTGTCCAGAGACTGGAAAAATCTTTTATTGGCTCTGGACACAAATGAAGCATGCAGAGAGGGGGCGTGGCCACTTTGCATAATAAAAGATGTGCCCCAGGCAGGGGAAGCTGAAAAGGCCAGGGAGGTCCTGGCAGATTCAGTTGCAGAACTTGAGAGAGAAAAAAAATGGGACATTTTAACTTATGTAAGGTCCAAGGACTCTGGAAAAAAGACAGATAATAATGAAAAGGGAAATGACCTAAAAATAAAAGTAGCTAAAGCTGCCCCTCAGATTCAACCACTGATAGATAGAAAAGGGGAAAAAAAGCTGACTGTGCTGTAGCTAGGAAATATACTATGCTAGAACTGTTAAAATTAGGAAAAACTTACAAACAAGCAAGCAGAGAGCCCCTAGACATGTGGCTTGTGAGAGTATGGGACATGGGAGCAAATGATGACAAACCCTGCAAGTTTGGAAAAAGCTAGAGTGCTGATGGCAGTGCTGATGTGGTTTTTACAATGGATTACTAAAAAGAGGCCCACCATGCAGGAGCATGGGACACTGCTATGTTGTAAATGTGGGGGTATGTTGGGGTATGTGAAGATTTGTTAAAGGTTATCCAGAGGCTAGAAAAAGTTTTATTGTCTTTGGACCCAAATGGAGTGCCCAGAGAGGGCAGGGCAGCCACTTTGCATAATAAAAGATGTGCCCCATTCAAGGGAAGCTGAAAAGGCTAGGGAGGTCCTGGCAGATCCAGTTGCAGAGCTTGAGAGAGAAAAAAAACAGGACACTTACACTTGGGTAAGGTCCAAGAACTCAGAAGAAAAGACAGATAATAGTAAAAAAGAAAATGACCTAAAAATAAAAGTAGCTAAGGCTGCCCCTCAGGTTCAACCATTGATACAAAAGGGGAAAAAAAGCTAACAGTACTGTAGCTGGGAAATTCTTCTAAAAAAAAAAAAAAAAACTAGGAAAAACTTACAAGCAAGCAGAGAGCCCCTAGCCACGTGGCTTGTGAAAGTATGAGATATGGGAGCAAATGATGTCAGTCTAAGTCTTCAGAAGCTTCACAACTTAGTTATATAACTACCCATCCATCCTTGTGATATAGGTTGTTCAACCTAGACAAATGCAGGGGGGAGCAGTCCTTAATGGGATAGCTGGTTGAAGACATTAATGATACATGGTCATCACAAAGGGAGACTAACATGATTGTCAGGGGCTGGAGGACTATAAAGGAGGGGCAGGCATTACTGAGAGAACTAGGTGTGAGAAAAGCAATATATGATGTCCAGTTCCATGGGCCAGATAAGACTGTGTTCACCAGAGATATGAAGGATAGCTTAATTCAGCTGGGGCCTCAAGAATGCTTTGGGCTTTAATGGTTTTACTAAGCCCTTTAATGGGACAGGATCTTTGTAAAGTGAGACAGGCTTTGGTAAATCTAAATGATTCTGACCAGCATGTAAAATGTGTTTGTAGAATAACAGAACATCCTATAAGAGATAGAAAAAAGACAAGACTGAAGAAATGGTCCACTTGGGTTACTCAAAGACAAATGTGGCAAGACTTATGTAAAGCCCAAATTCTCAGAAAAACAATTGATAGAAAACCAAATTAAGTACTAATGAGTTTCTGGAAGGCTTTAAATCCAGAACAGTTTACAAAAGGCATTCAAAAGATTAAAAAATGTCCCAGGGGTGGTTTAGAATCCTCAAGGATTAAAAAAGATGCATTTCTCTTCTGATATAGGCTATACTAGAGGTGGAAGCAGTTTTTCCCACCAATTCTCCCCCAGAAGCCAGGCATGTTCAATGGAGAAATGACAGATTTGGCTACAGTCAGGAGGCAGACCCAGGGCCTAACTCAGGAAACCAATAGGTGCAGTGGGGACAGGAGAAAACCCCTGCCTCCTTAGCCCAGTGCAGGGTCAGGCAACTGGAGCCAATACC